CCGTTACTGGAAAATTTTCGGAACGAAAGTTTTAAAAGCGCATTTAACACGTTGAAAGTTTAATTTTTTGCGCGGCGTTATATCCTTTCCGAAACACGGGGCGTAGAGCGTAATACGATTACCGTTTGATTTTATTCAAACAAAATTTAAAGTAAAAAGTTTAAAATGAGCTCTAAACAAAGAATACAATATGGCATTAGAAATAATGTATTAAATTTCACAATTGTTATAATTAAATTAGGTATTTTCTAGGAAAATGAAACTGAGCTCCGCGGCAGATTTTTCTGTTTGGCTTCAGGCCAAAACACAATTACCGGTAATGTCTCTAACCGGTCACTCGTGTAACCGAATTAGTCTCTACGACAATTTGTCATTTCCATCTTTACCATGAACATTTAACATACGCGGGCGCCCGCGTATGTTAATTAGATGTCCATGGTAGAGACCGAAAGACCAAATTGTCTAGAGATGGACGTAAGTCGAAAGCGATCCGGCCTTTTGATGGCGAAATTTGATTTAGGACCACAGATTGAATTTCAGAATTCGGGCTGCGTCGAGTTGTACGTATTTGCGAAAGTCGTGTTTAGTAGTCGTGCGGTTGCTTTAAACTACAATCGTAGATAAACACTGTCTGACTTATTGGCAACTGCGCTTACTGTCCGCATCGCACGTCGGTGTTAATTAAGTAACAACGGCTATTAAAAATACAGAAAAACTTTCCGTTGACGCAAAAAAATTAATAGGCGTATTTTACCATATTGAATTACGTACGGCTACTTTCTGTTTTATTTTTTATGATTAATGCGTGCTACTCTTGTAAATTTCTTGTTAAAATAATGTTAAATTTTAGTTAAAATGCTTTTATAAGCGTTGTATTTTTTGTGGGGTCTGTAACAGATAAACTAAATTTACGTTATTCCTTCTGGAAAAATTCGTTTGGTACTCGAACAGCCTTCCGTGACAAATTAAGATAGTTGGAGTAAAGAGGGATCACTCTCATTCGCTTAATTTAATACAGGTAGAGCAAAGCGGAAATGCGGAAAAACACGTAAATTGTAATACCTTTAGACAATTAAGCTGTTTCAAATACAACGAACAAATGGCCGAGAAATTAGGGTTCTCCGGAGAGCCGAAAAAAATCGAAACGCCGAGGGTCAACTGGATATACGAGGAAAATGAGGGTCCACTCCTTGTCGCCATACCGCCGAAAAGCTAGCGTTTGCCTATAGAAAACAAAACATTTTAAACAAAATTGTCGCTAAAATTCTTAAAATATACATTTAACTGAAATTTACGTGTAAATAAGACTAAAATACATTTAATATATTTTTAAATAGGTTTAAATGAAGATTTTAATATAAATAATAAATGCTTCTTTAATACAGACACACTAAGGTGTCATTATACAACACTTGGCAGATTATTCACCAACTGAATAAAATGGTGAATAATCTGCCAAGTGTTGTATATTGTCACCTCAGTGTGTCCGTAAAGAAGCAAAGTAAAATCAACGCAATACGGTTTCATCAGAATCAAATAAATAATAAATTTGATATTTAAAGGCGGCTTTTAGTTCTTATAAATGAATGACAGTAATTACTCGACCGAAAATTCTATTATAAAGTAACGAATTGCGGAGAGGAAAAGTGAAAATGTCTGGCAATTGAAAATACAACAAAACCAAGCTAATGTCACCTGGCGTATTTTCTATGCGAGATTTTTTTAATTTAATAAAAAATGTAATGTAATTAAATTATTTTTCAGAAATAAAATAATTGTCTTTTAAACATAAATGATACTAATTATTATAAAAAATAAAATTATAAATATTTATTGATAAATACTAGAAAGTACCTTAATAAAAACGGATTTTTTTTACTCTCCACCCCGCGGGCACTAAGAGGGCCCATTAAGGATTCGGCCAGCCCGCAACGGGACGACCGTCTGTTTTTATTTAGAGGTGGCAGCCCGAAGGACTGGGTGGAAAAATCCCCAGGAATTTTTCGGGCACGGTCAGTCCGTATCCGTAATGGGCTGGCTAAAGAAGGCTCTCTTAGTACCCGCAGAGTGGAAAGAGTTAAAACAATAAAATAAAAAAGCCGTCGAATGAAATTTCTTATTTCGATTCAATAATATTTGCGTAAGACAAAAATAAAGCATTTATCAGATAGATTTTTTTGAAAATTACATATGGAAACGTACAGTAAAGCGATTCAAAGGCGAAAAGTAACGGATGGCGCCGCACACTATTTAAACTCTTTCCGGGAAAGCTACGCAACTGGTGTCTGGACTTTTTACTCGGCAATTTACTTTCGCCTCGCCTATGTTTTATTACGTGAAATTATTTACGGTTACATCGTCACAATATGGAGTTTCAGTTTTCAATTATATTTTTAATTAATTTAGTATTAAATGTAAGATGGCCGACCCGGTGGAGATAGGGGACTCGAAACCCACTTCACGGCACCTGTGTAAGGTTGCCGTCTCCTAGGTGGGAGCTATTAATCCCGCGTCAGGACGAACCTAAGGGAAGGTTGTATGTGGGCTGTGACGGAGGAGGCAAATGATGACAAATGTTTTACCCAAGAAAGCCGTTTATTTGTTAACATTTATGCCGACATCGACTATCGACAGTCCTTCACTAGTTCTCGTCGGAGATGCAGACAGGCTAGAAGGTCTACGTCTGGTTGGCCACGGGGCGGACGAGATGAAGTTGGAAGCGGCGGAGTCCAAAGTTCGTGCCGACGACACACCACAATATCAGTCGCGACGTTTCGGGGAGTCGGAGGAGAGCCCTCCTGACCTTGATTTACCGATTTTTATAGTTTTTTTCTCCCACTATTCGGACTTCTGATCGGCCCTCGTCTCCTTCCTCGCTTCTCGATTGGTCTCTCTTGTTCTGGGGAAAACCGAGATCGACTAGGGTCACTGGAAAGGTACTATTCCAGGTGTCCGCTCGACGCCGTTCTGTCGATTGTTCTTGGGATTGTTGACAATTCCCAAGGACAATCGACAGAACGTTGCAAGATTCGCGCTTATAATTTAGCTCCGCAACTCGCGATTTCTGTCATCTGGGTACTCGAACGATCATACGCAATGATTTATCTCTCTTAAATCTTTCCCTCTTTTTAGAAATTGTTTCCCTAGATTGATTGTTTATGAGCGCTGGGGTCAAAGTTCTACCTGCATACGACCACTTGTCTCTGACTTATAACTTTTCACTCTGACATTGATAGTTCGTTTAACGCGTGTTCGAGTCATCCGAGACATTTTGTGCCGCGCTGTTTAAATTATGGGATTATTTCTCTCCCTCTCATATTTAATCTATCGTTATTATTTAAACATAGGAATATGGCGATTTACACGATTCCGGACATCGGTTGGGTCCTGGCATAAATATACGCTCTTTACTCGAAATTAGTAGCGGGTTGCTCCCGCATATTATACTTTTCCCGTTAGCCGGTCATCTAGGTAACTCGTTTTAGGGGAAATAGCATAACTTTCGGTGCGCGTCGGAAGTACGTATACAGATAATCGGGTTTCTCCGCTCTTAATCTCTTAAAATCTCCCTTCGTTCTCGAGATTTAGACGGGACAGACGGACAACGGTTTTGGTCCGCGGCCCAATAATATATGTGGTTATTTTCAAATATATAAAATATATTTTAAAATTCTAAATTTAGACACGGTTTAAAAGACGGTTGAAAATTTAGGAGGATTCTATTATACATTATATAGACAATAAAATAAAAACATTTTATAATTCAAAAACTACATTACATTTGTACTTCTTTCCATTCTCGAAAGTATTATGGCAAATATTCGTATTATTCCAGAGTTTCTAAGCATTTTATAAATACTTCTTCTTGGAAGATTGTCTCGGCCCTAGGCGGGATTTCGGGAAACGGGGTGTCTTTTTCCCCATAGATTATAGAATGGTCCGGGTAGTGTTTATTTCGACTCAACTCGATATCTAATTAGTCTAAAGACCACGCGTCGGTCTCCGTATCGATATTTTAGTTGGATCGAAGACTCGAGATCGATCGATCTAAAATATTCGGACAGATTGTCTCATAGTTCGTACGAGACAATGTCTGAAATTTTTAGATTGATCCGAACGCGGAGGGCTTAGAAAAAAGTCGACACACTCGTGTAACAATCGAGTGCAAAACATATCGTTGACCAGCGCTAACAATAAATTATCAACCGTTGAAAAATTGAAGGTTTTTGTCTAAGAATTTTATTTTGCATCTTTTTGGTTTTCATAATAGAGTTAAAGAATTTCCGAAACTGACAAACCGAGAAAAATGTGTTTTTTACGGATTTTTGGAAGGACAAAAGTTTCGAGTCTCGATTTATTTACAGCAATTATTTCAGATGAAATTGTATCGTAAAATGTAGTTTGACCCCACGATATGGCACAATTCTTCGTGTATCCTCCCACCCCTTGAGTTCCAAACTTAAAAATTAATAGCATCGATGTTCCTTATAGAAAAAATATATATATATATCGCGTAAAATTTCGTATATCGAGCTTTACGCTGTCCCGAGATATTAAATGAATTAGACATTTTTGTTGTTTCGGCGACATTTACAAATGACCAGAAAAGTTCGATTTTACGCAATACTTGCCGTGTTCCGTCACAACGGCCAGAAAACTAATATATTCCGATCACATTCCAATACTGCACGTTACTATTTTAAACTGCAGATTTTCTCTGCGGTTATTGTTCCACGACGGTTGCAACTTCAAACAAAATATTATTAGAATATAATGGGTATGCGGAACATAAACGCTTTAAAATATTAAATATAAGTTTTTATCTTAAATAAAAATTAAATAATTAATTGTTATAAATTCCACAGTTTTAGCTTGTTTTGATAATTAAATTGAATAAACACGGAGGTAAAAGGAAAAACGTTTTTTAATGTTTATTTGAACTTATATCGCTAATAGAAAATTACACAATACAGTCTAAAACAGAAAGAAATTTGTATTCAAATATGTATAAAACTTGTATTAACTGGAGTTGATATAACAAGAAGACAGCAATATTGTTAGGTTTTAGAATTATTATCAGTAATTTTAAAACCGGAGCCGGATCATTCCAACAGCCAATGAATATTCAAAAAGAAATTTTTAAATCTTTTTATTTACTATAACTAACTTATAAATAAGGAATAAAATATATATTAAAGCTTATTTTTGTTGTCAGTGCGTAAAATATCTTCGATCATCTGCGAAATTCGTAATGAAACCTGAAAAAATAAAATTAACGCGAAATTAAAATCACTCTCGAATATAAATAAATACAGTACTGTAAGGTCTCTTTTTATGCGGTGGATACGTTCTACAGAAAAGCGCATATAAAAAATTCGCATAAAAAAAGACTTTACTTGCCTTGAAAAAGTAGGGATACGTTCCGCAATTTTCTAAAATCGCATAAAACCAAAACAACCAGTTAAAATTAACTTAAAACCGCATTAAAAAGTTTGCAGAAATTAAAAGAAATAGGCTGCTTAATAAATTACTTCGAATGTCTGAAAGAAATTCATATAAAAGCTTAAAATAAACTTGTATTCAAACTTAATTCAGTTTATTTTATTGAAAAGTAATACAAGGGGAATCCCCGAATTGCAAAAGCTCACTCTAAAAACAAATCACTGAAATCTGTATGTGAAGAGTTAATTAAAACACCTTTAGTTTCTCGCCCGAGTTAACTCGGGCAGGTTACATAGCGTTACATAAAACACGGTCCTTAAGACCATTTTTTGAAATTTTTTTTGAATTTTTGGAATGGTTTTTAAGTCTCCAAATTTTTTAAAAATATTTAAAAATATACGGCCAGCTAGGGTTCACCCTACTTTAAACCCTTGTCCTCCCGCGACGTCTATGAGAATGCCCCGGGAAATCCAACTCCAGCTGTGTTCAAAATCATCCAGATATGTAAACAATGACTCATCGGTGTTAAATTTCACAGAAGGGCGAGACAAAGGAAGTTAAACTTTGAAGCTTTTTCTTCAAAATTAACGCATTTCTTTCGTTTTTTTCAGTTTTAAGTATCTTTTATGTTTAATTACATTAATATCAAAAATTGCTAGGAACTAAAGCGATTAAGGTAGATGTAGCTGTCGTTTACATCCATAAACATATGTCAGTGGAACAAATGGAGTGAGCTTTGAGCGTTCCACGATTTTTGGAGACTGTCTATACGCGGGCTTCCTAAACAAGCTTATATGTATGTTTGTCCAAGAAATTTTTGGATGAAATACAAACCGCACAACTTCAAAATCGCATAAAAATAATCCGCATAAAAAGAGACCTTACAGTAGTACATTTCTGAACTGAACGTAGTCACGATCCCGTGTGCCAGAGCCACGCGAGTAGAATTTATAAATTCTACGAATTTTTAGGCAGTACGAAGCGGTTAACTTTAGTTGGTTCTCAACTTATCTGTGGCTTTCCATTCGTAGAAATCTGTCAAATACAGTACATAATATTTTTATTTACAACTGAATGAGGCGTTAACATTCACGAAAACAATTATTTTAAGATATATTAATTAAATACAGCATTTTTAAAATTTCAGAAGAGAATTTACTTACCCCTCATAGTTTTGAATTCCAGCTTCTGAATTTCTCAGGCAAATCCATGTACTGTACGGGTACGGTACTTTCTCCAAATGTTCTCGTAATCGAAGGAAAGTAGAAAATCCTTCGGAACTCCGAGTCTCCCGACAGAATATAGACTTTTCCTCCACCGGGATTTGCTTACGTTCTAAACCTACACGCTCGTTAGCAAGATTTCCTTTTGGGAAGCGCTTATGGCAATAACAAGTATTTTCTAATATATCCGACGCAATATTTTTCGTAACGATTTCTTAGCCACGTAGCGGGAATACTTCGCAACCAATTATCGACGATAAAGTATAGTTTTAAAGCTAAAATAGCGACAAAAAATTCCAAGCGTACCGTACGGTGCGAGGTATACGCTATCTGAGCGTCGCGACTCTAGCGGCATCTCGTGATAAAAACTAGAACTACAGATACGGAATCGTTCTGTAATTAGACGCCAGTAATAAAAGGTGTCCCCACGGATCTGGATGCGGATGAAATCTACGAACTTCTCCGAGACGATGGCCACTGCCCAATTAGAGTGCGGAGATTTGCCAGAACGCGTAACGGTCGGCGCCTTCCGACCGGAACGATTAAAATCGATCTAGCGACGGATCGTGTGCCGTCGCGTATCCGCCTATTTCTCTCGGCATATCGCGCAGGGGAATACGAAGAACGACGGCGGATATGCCACAACTCTGGCCGTCTTCAATTCTGCAGAAACGAGCCCGCTGTACTAGGTGCGGCGATCGACGCCACGCACTGGTGACGCGTGCCCTGCCGCACGGCCCTTCTGTGTCGATTGCGCCGGTCACCATCCCCGAACTGCCCGTGGTATCACGTAGAACAACTTGTCATCCGTCGTCAAAAGCGATATAACTGCTCGAGACGGGAAGCGCGTACTGTACCAGGATCTTGTTAACCAGTACCAGATCCGATCGGCGACCCGCATCGCTATTCCCCGTAGTAGTCACCCCGCTCCGCCTTGGTGGACCAGCGAATGCGGGAAAAAACTGGCCCGCAAGCGTCGCGTGTACTATAAATTTACAAAAAACATTAACGCGACGAACTGGATGGCTTACAAACGCGCCAAATCTGCGCTACAACAGACCATTTTAGAAAGCGAGTGCGATTACTGGAAGCGTATGGCCAGCACTCCTTATTATAAAATCAACGTCTATAATAAAATCCGTCAGCTACGCGTGACTGCCTCCACTCCACCGGCCCGCTTCATTCTCAAAACCAACGGTGACGTCGTATCGTACAGTACTCGCACAGTCGAGCAGAAGCATTTGCGCATCGCTTTATTCCGCATTCTACCGAAATCATCTTAGACATCCGCCTCCCTCCTACCGCCAACGCGTGGACCGGCCTGGCCGACTACAATTCTCCCTTCTCGATTCGGGAATTGAATGTGGCATCCAAAAGACCAAAAACCCCACCCCCGGCACGGAAGGCTTTCCCGTGTCCGTACTGCATAATTTCAGCCGGCTCAACAAAATTCATCTCCCGACCATCCTCGATCATATTTGGACCACTGGCGAAATCCCTCTTACCATGCAAAAACCACTATTATTCCCATCTGCAAACCCTAGAAAGACGCGTGCAACGTTTCCAACTATCGCCCCATTGCCCTTAGGTCAACCATCTCTAAGACCCTGGGGAGAATGATCCTCCAACGTTGGACTCATTTAGCCGTTTCAGATAACTGGTTTAACTACAAACATTTTGGGGGCCTACCCGGGCCCTTAGTCTCGAGTTTTTCGTGTTGTACTCGAATTGACGTCATCGACTCAGTCGCATAATCGGTAGTCTCGAGTTAGACCCATCGAGCGAACTCGAAAGGCGAGCGGAAGTAGGTCATATTCACTCGTTTACGTGTGTCGTTAAGCACGATGGGATTATTTACAATGCATCTGGGTTTCGACTATAACGATTCGACCAATCAACTTTACCGTAACGAGTTGTAAACAAATCAACGCGAATTAGTTTACACGTGNAATGCACCATCTCGCCCCACCCGTGGAGTAAGACGGGGATATTATTTTTATAACAAATTAAAATTGTTAAACTGTCGTTTTCTTCAATATTGGCGCAAGAGCGGTGCACCCATTTATCACAACGGCTACATTTAGTCCAACTCTCTGTAAATACAGAGTATAACCCTCCACAACAGAGGCATTCCGTGTCATTTGTCTTTTGTTTCTTGTTAGGCTCACCCTTGCCGAAGAGGCCCATTTGTCGTCTCCGCAGCAAAAAAAGTCTGCCTCCGAAAATACTTCTAAATTCGTAGGCCATATTCGTGCTTAACCCGGGGCTAGACGGGTATCCCATCTTGCCCCCAATGTACACTTTCCATACTAACTGCAAACACTGGTAAACTTAATTTCAAAACTAAACAATTACGGTCTTAAAGGTTACTTCGAATACCATAATTTCTTCATCTAAAAGGTAATGTTAAAGTTCACAATGATACTTACTTTGTAGAAACTTTTTAGCGGGCGTAAAATTAGATGAAGTATTACCGAAACATGAAAAACGTATTTTACTTCCAAACAAAGAGATAGATTTGGACGTTCTCTCGCTCCACCATCCCTTTCGAGGTAGACATTTAGTTCCCCAAATAACAGCTAGATAAAAGAACATTACCCACAAATAAACAGACGTCTCCGTCTTACTCCATGACCCATCTCGCACACCTTCCCTTATATCAATAGTATATATACTGAAAATTGAAGGTATGTATTTATATTACGTTATTAAAGTTTCTTCATAATAACAGAAAAAATATATATATATTTTTTTTTATTTGAGATTTGTAAGAGTGATCTAATACAAAGAAAATAGTACTAAAAGAGGAATCGGTAGTCTTTTACAACTCCGTCCTGCGGGTACTAACGGGATCTGTCTCCGTATCCATTGCGGGTTCTCCGGGACAATAAGGGAGCAGTCGGGTGGCGAGGGCTACGACGGGCCCTCATCCCCTAGCCTTCTCGCGACGAGATTACCCAGCCTTTTGTCAGAATACCGTCTATCTCTCACCGTTTGGCCGAATGGGACGACGAAAGACGGATCTCGATATATTTACTCTAAATACATTCTAAAGCCCGATAAAGATTCGGCCGTTTCCACGCGATACTCAAACAACAGAGAGGAAGACGTAAATTTAAAAGTAGCCTACATAGCTTACTTTCTAGGATTCCCGAATATACGCGCAAAGTTTCGTAGAGGTCGATACTGGAACAAACAAATGTTAGATTCGATTTTATATATACAGTGCATAGATAGTTCCATATATTAATTTTTGAAATAAAAATCATAATTCATTTAGAAAAAACAGCCGATGAGAAAATGAAAGAAAATACCAATTGACTGGATAATTAAATCGGGATCCCGGTTGTGGACGCGCTACAAGCTTTCACACCGCTACCGAGAGTACTAACTGTAAGAGGAGCAAACCAGATATCAGAATTTAAAAATATTTTAATTAATAAAAGATTCACGTCCACGAAATTAGAAATCAAAATTCCAACCCAAACTAAGTCATATTCCTAGACACTTTCTTAGTGAGGTTCGATGCCGCGGGCTTTTCCTTTTCCTAAAAATGCAGTAATTTGGAGCCAGACGTTATTTTCTAAATAGAGAATCAATCGGCTCTAAGGTAAGCCACTTTATTCCGCTGTTTTACTTCTTTATAGAAACGAGATAAGCCTTTTCCTTCGCATTCTAGACTTTCGAATCGTCTCATCAAAATATTTGTTTGGGAAAATTTCTCATTCAGTTTCTTAATGTCCGTTTCAGTATCCAGTTCCTCCATGACTGAATTATTTTGGGTATTTTATAACAAGTTTTAGAGGAGGTACAATCTCTTAACCAATCCTAGCCATTCAAAATGTCAGGCTCATCGTACCGAAAGATAGCACTATGTATACAGTATATATACTTTGACGCTGTCCAAATAATACAAAAGAAGTTGACTTATCTTTTCGACGGTAGTTAAACGTTACGCAATTAACCAACTACCAACAAAAATTAACAATAACGAGATTTTGAGGCTAATTTGGTCGTAGGAAACAAGTCCGAGCATGGGGAAGAGGAAAAGAATCGAGTTCGATGCCTCCAATTAGCGGTAAATAAATATTTTTAGATTTTAGCATTGTCTAAGGAAACTTACTTAAATTTTATCCTTACGACTAAATTCATTTTGTACTTTTTTCAATTCTTCGCTTAATCTCATTTTAATTTCTTTCTCGCAATATATTAAACTATAATAGACATTGATTTGGACCGACGTTGCCTGAAATTTGATTCGAGTGTTTAATTCAATATTAAATAAAAATGTCAAAAACCAAGTAAAATGTGTCAAACCATTATTTGAGTGGTGGCTTTTTTCAGCGAGTTTTCCACCGCCCGATACTTCTTAAATACTTCGACCGACTCCTCTTTATTACTAAAGAAATTATCTTTTATCTTTTCCACAGTCCAATTCTTCTCTTCGTCTTTTAAAACTTTGTCAAAAATTTCATTCTTTAAACAGATATGATTTTCCACAATTAATTTATTTTCTCGCGCTAATTCGTTTACATGGTCAATTTTGCTCTGAAAATATTTATGTCAATTTTTTAATCGAGTAAAATTAACTCGGAATATTTAATGGAAAAGAGATCGATCGATTAATAATTAACGTCGGGCACCGGCGCAACAATTAAGTGGATAACGAGTGGCCGATCCGCCATGGGGTCAATCGGCGTAGGTGGAGGCCATCTGCCCGGGAAGGGTACCTCTCGGGCGGACTTTTAATGGAAAACTAGCCCGTATTTAGACGTTACACAACTCGAGAAAACCCGAAAAGGTACCCGCGCTATCCCTTTGATCGGGTACGAGCTTACGACCGATGCTTTTATTACTCGGCCATCGATAACTGTTCGAGAACGGAGGAATAATATTCCCATACGTATGTACTAGAATAAAAAGTAAAAATAATAAAATTCGTGGCCGGCGTTATTTACATTTAATACATAAAAATATAAATACGACTTTTTAACAAAGTTAAAACTTTGTGTCTGCCCTCCTTTTCGCCGTTTTCACCATCAGCAATACAGTATTGCTGATGGTGAAAACGGCGAAAAGGAGGACAGACACAAAGTCGTATTTATATTTTCATGTATTTAGTATAAAAAGTGTTTGGTTTTGAAATAAAATAATTAATTTTTTCCATTATATTTTCCAAGTACTGTATTCTATAAAAATGAAAGAAAAGAATATTACCTGTATTATTCTCCATTTATTCGTATTCAATGGATGAAAGATATGATTCTTTAAGGATAAATATTGCAAACTGTCTTTGTTCAAATTTATGCTATAATCTTTAATTTTAGTTCTAAGTTTATAAATATCAAATTTCTTTTTATTCAAATAATTAGATTTAACCAATGCTCGATCCAATTGACATTTCCAGCTGCCAATACCTTCTTGATTTTTGAATTTTTCTCTTTTAATATACTCAAATGATTTGGATTGTGTAATCGTTTCTTCTTTACAGGTTTTAAGTTTATTCTCCATCAAATTCAATTTAGTAGTGGCTTTCTTAAAAACTGCTTGTTCCTGTATATATAAATAAAATGAACTTAGTGCACCGTACGTATATATCAGACCATATAGGTCGTCCCTATACTGGTATTTAGTAATATCTTATTTTAACCCATTGATTAAATTGAGGCTATACGTTCTACCAGGATTAAATCCTTTACACATAGGTTGATTCTGGCTGGATGGCCGAGACGGCTCGTCACCCGGCCGTACCGTACGCAATTTGATGGGAGTAGTAGCGCACGATATACAATTTGGAGTATATTTTAGTTTTACTTATAAGAATACATAATTCATTCTATACAATTTTTAGAAAGTCGAATAGCATTTTCATCCGCTGGAAGGAAGAAAAGTGTTCCGATCAACGATTTTAATTCTATAGAAAAAAAAAGACAAATACGCAATCATTTTATTTTTGCAATGGATATACATAATTGTGAGGGACGAACAGACCCTTAATAAAGTGTTATTTTAAGTTTTAATTATTAAAACATTTCATCATATAAAATCGAGCGTTAGGCAAAAAGCCATAAAAATTTATTTCCCACGGAGTTGGTTCCTTGTTGAAGAGGATCCAACAAGTCAGCGATGTGTCACCCACAACTTTCGATAGAGTGCTCATATTGGACGCCAGACCCTTAACAACAACCACCTGACCTCGTGGAAAAAACCCCAAGAGGAATAACAAGAGAAAACGGAAAAAACACCCGAGGTCAGTCGTCTTCCAAAGCCCGTCCACAAAAGTCGTCTTCGAGGAATAACACCGTGACCAAGAGCCCAGAATTCAACCCGTGACAAAGATCGTGCCTTTTTAAAGATATCATCCCCAATTCCGTGCCGTCACATCGTAGTGCTCCTGTTAACGAACGAGATCCGGAATCATTCTATCGAACATTTTATCGGCGTCAACAGTGTCATCTGTTCACAGATCTTCGACCCAAAAGAAAGGTATTTATCAACCCGCGATTCGTTCGTAAACTCTCTCACTCGAACGGCTTAGTATCATTAGGGTAAACTTTAGGCATGCCCGATATCGAATATATCTGTATTTTCTTTAGTACTTATTAAAATTGTTATTTATTTGTTACTATGGAGTCCGAGTGAGTCACTTCCTGGTCTCTCTCCTCACCTCTACTCCGAATCCAATCGCTCACCCGTTACCGCTCGCGTGACGTAACGTCGCGATTTCCGAGTCCTCGGAGACTCGGTGGTGTCAGATTCGGGTCTCCTGACGTGGTGTCAAAGAGACACCGACCATACGGTCACATAATTATATACAAAATTATAAATTACGGTATTGATTAATAACATTAAAATTTGAGTTACATATAGTTTATTTATACACGAACTATTTTCTAGTATTTTAATACATTTATAAAATCCTTTATCATTTCGTTCGGCTAAATTTAAAAAGATTTTTCTATAAAAGTTGGGTGTAAAATTTTTTCTATTATTATTTGTACAGTCGCGGTTCCAGTTTTATAACATCTTTCTTATCAAAATTATATATTAACCAGCGGCTTTGTTCGGCCAAAAGTTTACACGGGTCTGAAAATATGTTCGATTACTGACAAAAACGAAACAAACTGCATCCGCGTCTCGCCCGTCGCTTTCTCTTAACACTTCCATCAACAATGGAAGTGTTAAGCCTCTCTCCCCCGTGGGGAGGAATTTCGAAAAATCCCTTCTTAGTGCGCGTTCTCGTGACGTACCCCGCGTACCAAATTTCGACTTTCAACTCCTAACCGTTTGGGCTCTGCGCTTATCATCATCAATCCTCTCGATTATATATATATATATATATATAGTCCACTATTTCCTCTATAATTGCTATCAATTAACGTTAATTCAAAAGATAATGAAGATTTTCAAGCAATTCTGCCACAGCAGTTATTTGGCATTTCTGCAAATAGTCATTTTTATTCATTCGATTTAATTATATTGGCATTATTAGTAAAGATACCGCATTGGAAGACTTTTTCGGAATTTTTACATTTTTAGCTATTTTTTAAATATGTGTTTATTACAGTCGATGCAATGACATTTCATGAAACTTTTAATGCGTAACGTTATCGTTATCAAAAAATTTACGTTTATATATATTATGTTGCGGTAATCTTAACCACGTCGCTTTATTTCCAGCCTGTTTTATGCGCGGATATGCTTTACTACAAACACCATGTATTCATTTTTTCTTCTTTTATGTAATTTTAAATGTCTGTATTGTGGCGACGATAATGATATCAACGTATGTATAACAATAAAAAATTAAAAGTGAAAAGCTATTACGCTTAAATTTTTAATAATAGAATGTTGCCAAGATATGTTGTTATTGCGTATGATTTTTACTTTTAATTTCGTATTGTCCGTGTCTTAACGGTTCCGCATTGAATAAAATTCCGTCGAAAGTTTTTACAACAGACTTTTTAATTTCTGCGGCTGTACTTTTATTTTCGTTATCAAAAATATAAAAATATGTTTTTGGTTTTAACCAATGAATAACGAATGAAATTTAAAGCAGACATCTATAAAGTACGGCTTCCAGACACGGTAGATACCGTATGGTAAAAAGCGCATAATCCTACAATAAAAGGATCATTTTTACCTTAGGAAATTTTTTAATAATCTATAATTGGTGTTTTCGATGAAGAATTTATTATACAGTATCTTCTTGCCTCGGAGATGGACCGTAAAAGACTGGAAAAAATTATATTTTTTCTGTATGTTTTTTAATTTACTATTTCTTATTTCGTGCTTTTGATAAATCATCGATAACTCCGGACTAAGGCCGCTTACCTCGTCGTTAAATTCTTTTTTCTCTTACTTTACCTGTCATAAACAATAACGAAGCTAACGGAAGAGGAAAGAGTGCGCCATCGGATTGGTTACTAAAACGTTTTTCTTAGTATTTAAAAGATGTTTTACACTCGATTTACCGATAACATTCATATATTTTCTTAAATTATGAACATTGGCGGATATATTTCCTCTTAACAAATTTCGCATAAAACTTTAGTTTGATGGGGAGAAGCTTCTTTCAATATTGCTCTTCTCTGAGAAGTAGTCTTTGTCAAAAGACCTAATATATCAATATAATGATTTTTCTTTACGTTCTTCGTTTTATTGCTAAGAATATAAAAAATGCCTCGTTTATGGGGAAGGCACGAATCCTTCTCTCACAGAAAATTTCTTATCCGTTTTAGGATGAAAATCCAAAATCCTTTTATGTCGCTTTTTAGAAAATATATATAGGTCTATACGTTTCCATCTACGAGAAAATCAAATTTACCAGCAAAAGCCCGACGATCTAAACACGATTATTTTAAAATAAAATCGGGCAATAAGTATTTAAATTTATATTTCTCATATTCTATTTTTCAGAAACAAGTTTTGTATTATTAAGATCAATCTTACATTAGAGTAATGAGATTTTACATTTCATTCGTATATGGCAAAGCGACTCGCGAGCGATCTGACTACGAGGAAGTCTTTTACGGAAAACTGGCACCCATTTACGCGTTACTAACGTTACGAAAACACGGAAAACTCCACGTGGCCAGTCCGTTGTGGAGACTCGAACCCGTTCCATAGTTTTATCCACTCGGCCACCGGTGGGCCGCGATGACCAGATTCGGTCGTAAACAAAAATGTCGTTTTCGAGACCATTCGCGAATCAAATCACCAATTACTATTATCCCATTCTTGCGCAGAATCGCGTCAACCGTATATAAATGTAATATCTTTTTCTTCTGGAAAAAACAGGGTGAACGTATAGAGTAACACCCTAGAATCTTCTTAAGCCATTTCTCGTAAATTTTACAAAGAATGATCTTCCTTACCCGTGTACTTTTTCTACATTATAAGGATCCGACAATTATACAAGTAGTAGGATGTTTAAAAGACATATCGATCAATTTTATTAAATTTCGATCCAGTAGTTATCTTCTCGAACATCGATAAATTCTTTTTGTTCTTTTTTATATAAATTTCTTTCATACTTTCCGCGCATTGTTCGAATGAATTGTATAATTTGTAACCATACATCGCTAATTCTTCCGTTCTTTCCGAAATTTATCATTAACTTTAAATAATGCGAGACGATAAGGAATATGAAAAGAGAACCTCATCGATATAAGCATCCAAACACAGTAGAACCTCGATTATTCGGACTAATTGTGGATGAAGGTAGTCCGTATAAGGAAAGATTCGGATAATCGAAACAAACACTTTGTCTTTTAATGATAATACAACACGTTTCCTTTTCGATGACATATCGGTAATATTAAAAATAAATACTGTATTTAAATCGTGATCAAATTTTCAAGAAATAAACGTTCGTATTGAATTTGGACTACTATTGACCAGCGTTAACAGACTACCTATTGTTTAAAACAAGGGTGGGCAACCTTTTTATAACATGGGCCAGAATAAATTTTACGTTTTTTCCACGGGCCATAGTAGTTAATTGACACCTTGTGACCTGTAAATTTTTAGTTTGCAAATATGAAATAAATAAATAAATAAATAAAAAGAAATTAATTACTACAGTCGACCCCCC